GAACAGGTGGAATTTACGCAGCTCATTTACACCCTTTTCCTGAAGATAGAAGCGTTTGTTGAATCTGACGTGGCAAACAAAAGTAAGAGAAATTTAGGATAAGAATACGAACATGTTCTTGCATGAGGCCCAATGATTTTAAAAAGCAGAACCAGAAATAAAGGTAAAAAGTGCAGTAAAGGTTTTATTATTTTGATGGATTTTAAGGATGTCGAAGACACCTTTGTTTAATTTTAGTGAGAACAAAAATGGCAGGAAAAGCTAAATATTTCAAAATTTATAAATTGCTGAAGTAACAAAAATCATAGCCAGAATGTGCTGAAGGAGCTGGAAGTTTTGATACATGGATTGTTGAAATGGCAACGAAATTGTGGAATGAGATCTGTGCTGGAAAACACCTGGAAGAAAAGTAGATCACAAAACTAGTGGGTTACACTTACCGTCCTTTTATATCAGAAAAAGAGTTTCACTTTTGCATTTCTCTTCAAAATTCAAATTTTAAATTAGCATGTGTATGTCATGTAATCCAGGTAAGAAAAAGTATTATTTTGTTCAGTGTGTCCGCTCCTGTTCTACATCCTCTGAGAACACAGAGCTGTGAACGGAACACTGCTGCAAAACTGCAACACTAAGCATTTGTATGTGTGAGAGGTGACTGAACTGTGCATCAGGTGCAGAATAATGAAATGATCTCTTTGTCTCTAATTCCAGTTCCTTCCCAACCGACGGACTTTAAAGGAGAAGCCAAATCTGAAACGAGTATTTTACTCTCATGGAACGCTCCGGCGCAGACTGGACTGGAAAATCAAGTCACAGGATATGAACTCTTGTACAAAAAGAGAGATGAAAAAGACGAGGTGAATGTTTTCTAAAGCTTTTTCAAAATATCATCTGACCCTTAACCCGAACCCGAACAAGATTTTAGGCAACAATAATAGGATTGTCAGAATTTTTAAGCATAACTTTGTAATAGGCTCTATTTATCACCCAGAGCTTTAGTATTAATAGATGTGAGTCATTAACAGGGCACAGTTGGTGAGATGTTTACTTCTCAAGCAAATTATATTGATKAGTTTGACATTTACAGATCATGGGTAAGTTAACCTGTGTAAGTGGCACTTGGTGCTATGAAGCTAAAACAAACCTCAATTATATGCAACTGCATGAAAGTGAGTAGCAAATACTGTATCATTTTTGTTTCCTTTATRGGGGACATATGCAAAATCCATTTTTTTAGTCATTAAAGGCATTTTTTTGTACTTGGATTCTGTAGGAGCACAGAAAAGTTTAATTTAGTCTCCCTGGTGCTGCCTAGATATTTTTATATTATGTTTAGCTCACTGTTTTCAACTCTTTCTATATTTTGTTATGTTTTCTATATTTTCTATCACTAATGCTTGTAAAAAATTAGCTGCTTAGGTATGGTGCGTTTATGGACAGTAAAAATTGTGAGCCCCAATATCTAAGTTGGTCAAACTAAAAATCAGCCAGTTACAGTCTCCTACCCAACCCTTGAATGAACCAGTGATATAAACTATGTAAAACTGCATTTTTGTGTGATTTCTCACTGTTTACATAAAAAATAAATGAAAACTAATTTTTCTTCACAGAAACGAGTCAGCTTTGAACCCACAATGACTTACCTGCTGAAGGACTTGAAGCCCTTCACGTTTTACACGTTTCGTCTGGCAGCACGTAGTAAGCACGGAGTTGGAGCTTACACCAGCGAGATCTCAGCGGAAACTCCGCAGACRCGTAGGTCTTCTTCTTTATCTGACTAACTCCAAACTATCTGGGGAGAAACACATTTTCAAATGCATTTAATAATAATGCATTTATTGTATTTTTTCTAAGCTACATTTAAAAAAAGACAAATTTTCTGTAATGACTTACCTAATTAATTTTTCTTTCAACACTTAATGCATTTGAAAATTGTAAAAATATGAACACTGAAACAATAATTGAACTAAATTCTAGTTGGCCATGAAGTCTTCACATTGAAAGGTTGCACAGACAGTCTAATCAGGCTCTGCTGTGTTGGCAGGAGACAAGGTTATTAAAAACTACCACTCTCTCACTTTGTGGAGCGAAACACACAGTCCTAGCAAAAATGAACGATAAAAGTTCTGAATCATTCACATAAAAGCAGAAATCTGTTTTTGAATAAAAGAGAGTGGATTAGCTCTTGTCTCTTGACACCTCAATGAAGCCAAAAATAGAAGAACACAATATTTAGATTGAGCTTTCTATGTAACTACAACAGATCAGATCCAATTATCTGAATGTCAAAATGATTTGTCATTTTTATAACAATTTTCATGGTAATTCTTCCTAAACAGTAGAATCAAAGTGTTGGTGTGAAAATATCATAGAAAGCTCAATATGACTTTTTTTTAGATTTAGGGACATTTTCACAGTAAATACCTCAGATTTATGGAGAGAAAAAAAAGAAACCAAATTATTGATGTGGAATCTTAAATTCTCTGAGGTCTTTTGACCACAAGAGACAAAAATGAAAACATTGATTTTAAATCTGGAGTTGAACGTTTAGCATAAATCTGAGGACTCTGACAAATTGAGGAAGAAACCAGGTGGGTATAAAAGCTCAGATTCTATGTGTAGATGTATGTTGAGAAGATGTTAAAGATTTWAAAAAAAGTGCATGCCAGTGATATCAGAATCTAATGAAAAAGTCATGTCTCCTTTGGGAAGTTCTCTGTTGTACAATCAGGCTTTTACCACAAACCAACAGGCTACGGAAAGGTTGGTGACCAATACAACATTTTTTTCCTATTTTTAAACTAGAGACATCATCAACCTTTATGTTTTTGGATTGATGGTAACTGCTTGCAAAATTTGTCTGATTTCTACTAGATGTATTTTTTTAATTGCTCATTTTGACTGATTTTTGAAGACATTTGAAATAGGTTTTGAGTTACTTTTTTTTTGGAATCTAAGAACAACCAGAGTACATAACTACTTTTTCTTTATAACTTTGTTTTTTTTTCTTGCCAAAGGTAGGTGATATACTGTGTAAAGTTGTCTTGTTTTGTTCCAGTCAGCATCTTCCATTCATGATAAATGTTTCTGTTTTTGTTAATACTTTATTTATTTTTAGTTTGGTGGTCTATTTTTGATGTAAAATATTTTGTATTTACCCACATAAGTCCTTTTGCTTTTACATCATTTTATATTATTTTATTTTGCTTTTTCTTTTTCTTTTTTCTTTTGTTTGGTCAATTCTTCCATCATCATCATTCTCCTGATCAAACCAAAAACTGAAACAACCCCAACTCAATGAATGGCCTCAACAAACAAACCTAAACCACCGAAAACTTCCATTTGCTCCTAAACCAAACCACCAAGCAGAACCTGCAGGCGCACCTCAGGAAGTAAAGTGCTTTAGCCCCAGCTCCACCAACATCCGGGTAAGTTGGCGGCCGCCCCCTGTGGAGTTACAAAATGGGATCATAACACAATACAGCATCCAATACGCGGCCACCGAAGGGGAGGACACAGCTGCTCGTCAAGTCTCCGACATCCCTCCAGAAAACTCAGAGTACCTTTTGGAAAACTTGGACAAATGGACAGAGTACCGTGTGACGGTCAGTGCTCAYACAGATGTTGGAGCAGGACCGGAGAGCCTGCCGCAGCTTGTCCGCACTGAGGAGGATGGTATGTGTTTGCTCAAACAAACAAAAATCTTCCGCCGCAAATCCAGACTACCCTTTTTAACTTACCCCTTCAAATACTAACAACCTTGCCTATATCTACCTTTTCTTCTTTACCCCCCTCCGCCTGCTGCTAAAATGACTGCCTCCACTTGATTCTTTCAGCCTCGCTCTGGACAATGCAGTAGATTTTTAACCCAACCCGACTCAAAAAGCACTTTTTTTTGGCTTTTTTCCCCCTTTACGCTGCTCGATTTCAACATTTGGTATGGCATTTTTAGCTTGCGGCCTTTACCTTCCAGTCCCAACTGTCTTTTCTTCTCGCTTTTTTTACACACTTTTTAAATGATATCTARCTCGAGATTTGTTCCAACTTGACAAAAGGCCAAGTTAAAGACAGTGGGAAAAACAAAAAGGTGGAAGAATTTTTTTAAAGGCCATTTTTTAATATTTTTTCCACTCATGTGAGAATCATTTTTTTTCTCTTTTATTTTATAGCCAAAATTCTTGTTGTGCTTCAAGCATTTGGAAGTCTTGAAGTCCTTTTTGGCTAAACACATTTTTTATCCCATGTTTTTAAAATCCACTCTTCTCATTTTCAATGTTTCAAGATTAGGTCAGTCGTCAGACCTGTTTTTGCTGTTAATTTTTTTTCCCTCCCCTTACCATTGTTGAAATATCAATGTTATGCAGTGCTTGTTGCATTTTGCGGCACTTTTGTGCCCCTTTTTTCCTCCTTTTTGATCACTGCAGAATTTTGCGCTACAGCTTTGGGGCAAGGCTTTATAGGAAAGGTGAAGGGGTTCTCTATAATTTTGACCTTATTTCTTTTATCCCCCATGGTGTTCCTCCAGTTCCTAGTGGGCCACCTCGTAAAGTTGAGGTGGAGGCTGTCAACTCTTCATCAATTAAAGTGATCTGGCGCTCGCCGGTGCCCACCAAGCAGCACGGTCAGATCCGAGGATACCAGGTGCACTATGTCAAGATGGTTAATGGGGAGTCCACGGGACAGCCAGTCATCAAGGACATCCTGATTGATGATGCCCAGGTACAGCACCCCCCCTCAGCCAGCCGCTTCATTCCTCAGACAAACAGTCTGACTTTATAGTTCTCACCTTCTCACTTTTACACAGGAAAAAGCAATGTGTCATTACTTGAAAAATAACTTACACAAATAACTTCATACATAATTATTCTTTTGTGACAACTGTCAATTAGTCTCATGAAACTGGATATTTATCTTTTGAGATGTAAATTCACATTTAATGTGTATTTCCTCAGCCATCATTAATTGTATCTAACATGATTTCATACTTTTTTCTCTTCATTTTCCAATGTCATCAGTGGGAGTATGATGATTCAACTGATCATGTGAGTAGCTCATTTATTTATTGCAAACTTTGCTTGCTTTACCTACTCCATTTTCTGCATGCATTGCATTTGAGTTTGTGGTCAAATAGTCCTTTATATACTGCATCATTTTAACACTTTATAATGATAACCAAAAGAAATTAATGATGGTACTCATTTCAAAATAAGACTAAGACTTAAACATTATAAAAATCACTGCCCATTTGTAAACTTAAGCTTATAAAAACTTCTCTTACTGAACGTGGTGTGTCTCAGTTTTTAGTGAATGTCTTTGTTTTGTTGCACTGTCACAAACCACATCCATCCCTGTGCAAATAGGAAAGCGAAAGTTCTGCTGCTTAAGTCTTTTATCTTTTCAGGAAATGTTCATCACAGAGCTGCAGGCTGAGACCACATATTCAGTTACTGTGGCAGCCTACACAACAAAAGGTGACGGCGCACGCAGCAAGCCCAAACTAATCACCACCACTGGCGCAGGTAATATAAGCATTACCAAAAAAAAATAAATAAAGTTCATATAAAGTAACTTTTCTGATTTGCAAAGTGTTTTACTTACACTTTAAAATGTATGTCATGCAGTAAATACAATGAAATACAGTCCCCAACATCATTCAAAATTACTGACTGACTTGTAAAACATTGCCATWCTGAAGAGCCACAAAATAATCTAAAAGATGAAAATAGGTTAAAAAGAGAAAATTTAATTTACATTCTTCTCAGATTGATACTGGAAGAACACAGTKTGTTTCTAAAGTTTTATTTTTTCTCCATTGCTACCATTAGTTCCAGAAAAGCCCCGTCTTATGGTCAGCACAACCAACATGGGCACAGCTTTACTCCAGTGGCATCCCCCAGCAGTGACCCACGGACCCCTGCAAGGTTATCGCCTTCGCTTTGGTCGCAAAGATGTGGAYCCACTGACAGTTATTGAGTTCCCAGAGCGGGAGAACCACTACACAACCAAAGAGATCCATAAAGGAGCTTCATACACTTTCCGTCTTTCAGCACGCAACAAGGTGGGCTTTGGTGAAGAGACAGTCAAAGAAGTCACCACAAATGAGGATGTTCCAAGCGGCTTCCCTCAGAACATTAAAGCAGAGGGCGCCACCACCTCCACGGTTCAGGTTAGCTGGCAGCCTGTGTTGTTGGCAGAGCGAAACGGGCGAATAATAAAATATGCCCTGCAATATAAAGACATCAACAGCCCACGCAGTCCCTCTGAACTCTTCATCACTGCTCCGGAATCAACCGTCCTCCTGGATGGCCTTAGGGCAGACACAACTTACGATATAAAAATGTGTGCCTTCACCAGCAAGGGATCTGGTCCCTATAGCCCAAGTGTCCAATTCAGAACACAACCTGTGGATCAAGGTAGGACCAGTCCCTGAACTTTCTTAGCTCTTTCCTTTTTAAACTTTCAACCTTTTCCTGTACAACTACAACAACTTCCTCCGAATGCCTCAAATGGCAGAAGTTGAGCCAACCAAAAGACTCTGGTACTAACATTCTACCCTGTCATTAGCTTTGTTTTAATCCTACAATTTAACACTCACTCATGTTGAGTAAGTATGTATGTCTCTTTGTGTCTTGTCAATTAAGTACAGGCCAGTCATTAATATTAAAAGCTGGTGGTTGGTTAAAAAGGTAAGAGGACAGTTTTGAGTTCAGCATAGCACTTCTTTCAGCCTGGTATGAAGGAGTCATTTTCAGGTAAGCACTAGTGTGGGATCGGTGGAAAAAGAAAAAAAAAAGATTTTGTGTCTAAATCATCTGCTCCCCCTTTCTTTTAGCAGTGTTTGCAAAAAATTTTCACGTGAAAGCTGCTATGAAGACATCTGTGCTACTGATGTGGGAAATCCCAGAATCTTACAACCCAGCTCAACCTTTCACTGTGAGCATTGCCTTCCTTTATGTACMGCTAGTATCTCTATTAAATTAAGGCCATGCAACACAACATCTTCTGCATAAAACATCTCTTTTTCATTTTCCAGATTCTCTATGACAACGGGCAGAGTGTGGAGGTGGACGGGAAGTTAACACAGAAGCTAATCACCGGTCTTCAACCAGAGACGCAGTACTCCTTCCTCTTGACCAACCGTGGCAACAGTGCTGGAGGTCTACAGCATCGAGTGTCCACCATGACGGCTCCAGACGTGCTTCGCACAAAACCCTACATGCTTAGCAAAACCAACTCAGACGGAATGGTGACTGTTGAGCTACCATCAGTGCAGACGTCTGAAAGAGTGCGGTAAGCATGCATCATAAGTGYACGTTATTTCTTATGTAARGCTGGATGGACAAGTCYTCATTTGTTGACATATTTTAATTGATTTGTAAATAAAAAGTTAATGACTTTCYAGGTAATCATACCTCTGCTATCAAACTACAAAAAGTGCCTCATTTGCATTTAAAGAGACTGCATCAAAAACAAGTTGATTTGAGACACATATCAGAGAAGGGGTGAAAGAGGGGTTTGTGGAGCTACAATAAGGAGGAAATCAGACCAAAGCATTGCCGTTCCACTTTTTAAACCCCAACTGAACGATTTTAAATGTGTAAAGGAAGGATTTAAATGTGTCTCCTTTAACTTGGGGAAGCACATCTAAATATCACTTGCAAATTTTATTCATAATAGCAATGAATAAAAAAGTATTTTTTGCTGACTATTGACTATACAGACATTATTACAGTAATTATTGGCCTTTCACTGTTAAAGCTACAACTTAATGATAACTGATCTATATGTGTGTGCTGTGAATGGAAAAACACAACTTGACTTGATAGCTGACCTTGTCAGGGGTATTTTTTCCCACATCAGTCATCTATATTCATCCTTGTGATTCAGTGTAATATCCACTTCACCTCAGTCATTGAACAWTGAAACAGCCCGCCTCATTTAAACATACTCCTCAGCCTTTTTACAAAGCACATGGTTTTCACAGATCTAAGGGACATATTCAATTTTACAATGAGGATTCAAACCTTTTTTCTTTGTTCCCCCCAGTGTTGGTGGTTGCTGTTGCCTCATTGTTTCCCATGCCAAAGCTTAAAGCCTAATTAGCTCCCTGTATTTACCAAGATGGCTTCACRTGTGCTCACTATGTTGAGCATGCTCTAGCCCATAAATTGTTTGCCAATTTTTAACAGGATTTCCAATGACCCTGTTGTTAATAAATTTTAGATGCATATTGAAAAGATTAATTATTGTAAGTAAATGTTAAAAATGCTTATTGTCACCTGGAGGCTCGACATTAAGCATTTGTAGATTTTTGTTATGCTTTTATTTATATAGTTTGTTTCAATCAGAGGGAACAATTTTCATTAAATATATTGTGACTAGTCCAGATAGTAGTCCAGATTGATTGTCTATTATTTGGCCGCTTCTGTTCATCCTATCATTTTTTTATGACAAAACCTGTAACGTTTAAAAAATAATTCACCTTGTGTAGTAGTATATGTTACACTGAAACTTTTCTTTTTCAGGGGGTATTATGTCGTGGTTGTACCTTTGAAGAAGCAACGCACTGGAAAGTTTTTCAAACCATGGGATAATCCTGATGAGATGAATTTGGAGGAGGTAAATTCCAGTATATAATCTGATCATACTGACTCAGGTTACCAAGAAAAACACATTATACTCAAGTCACTTCTGTGTTATCACTGCTGACTTTGTTACTCAACCTTAKATACCTATAAGCACATACCACATATTGATTTTTTTCAAAAACAGGAGTAAATAGGTCGAGGCAGGTAAGAGGGCAAGACAGACGGCAGACAAGTCTTTGTGATTGACGCAAATGGCTCCAGAGAGCACTGTTCATATGGAAATGAGAACATGAAGTAGCCATCAATTGCACAGCAAACTCCAATCCCGTCCCCACCTCCTCCTCTTCCTCCACCTCTTTGTGTCTGCAGTAATTACCTGGAGGGCTGCATTGGGCCTTCGTGGCTCTTCTCGTTCCAGGCAAAGCTCGGCTGCTGCATATGCACAAAACACTTGACAACTTTTATATTTAGCTGGTTGAGATAATTCTGAAGTTCCTGTGCGTTGCATGCAAATGAGAGCTTTTACCGCTACATGATTTAAGCCGTTTCAGCTTATCTTTTAGATCATAGATGATTTATTATTTTTTTAAGTCTGCGTGATGCAGACTGCTAATATTTATTTCCATGTTAAACCTCGCAGTATTTCACAAGACTTGAAGGATAAAGGAAAATACAGGGTGTCTCATMTGACAATGCCTTTGCAGCTCGTGCCCACAGGCCCGTGTCTGCAGCCTTGACCGATTGCCCAAAAGTCACGCCTCTGTCAGAATTTATTTGTTTGTCAATATTGGCACTCACCTTTTCACAACTTTTCCCAAGGGCAGCTAGATTTAGCCGTGTTGACAGGAGAGATGATTGAAGACATTATCGGGCAGCACCAACAGCCCCGCAGCCAAAACAAAGCACACACAAGAACACACACACACACACACATACACACACACCCTCTAATATGAATGACAGCCACATGTTACGTGCACCTTGCATGTGCACTCAATAATCCAGTACGAGTCAGATATATGCATTCAGACGTGGGCTTGTTTAGCATGATTATCATTCCGATATTGTACTTGAAATTTATAATCTGTTGAAACAAGCTCGTGTGAAGGGCACAGTTTTCTTTTCAGCTGGGGATACTGGGTTATCTGCTAAACCCAATGGAAGCAGCAAGTGTGGACTTAGCTTTGTTTTAGTTCATTAGACATTAGATTTAAATAATTTCAGAACCAGGGCAAGCCCCGATCATTTGTATTACCATATTTTCCAGACTATGTCACTTTGGARAATAAGTTGCACCTGACTATAAATCACATCAGAGGAGACATTTAATCAGGAATAACACACAGAACATACCTACGAGGATGCCAAATAGCCTTTAACAAAAACAGATTAAATTGATAAGAATAACTTTACGTGAATAGTTTGCAACGACTAACGTGTTCAAATATTTTTCCTTCACGAGTTCAACTAAACGATGGCCRCAGCAAGAAACAGCAAGCTAACATTAGCGTTCCACCCTCTGTCCTGCCCTCTCATCATTACTGTTATACAGATAACCTTGGAGTTTAGTGTAGTCCGTTTTTGTTGTCACAAAACAAAAATGCATTTCAACAAGTAAGTTACGGGTAAGTTTACCACTCTCATTCCACATCACGCGAATAGCTTTCTGCGTTTTTTTTGTTTTGTTTTGTTACAGTAAACGTAACTGCTGCTTTTCACCAGTCTCACACGTTTTTCACTCACTCCAAATTTTCTTTCTGCTGCTCTTTTTTTTAAACTGGTAGCAGAACAATAAACTAGTTGTCTCAATCCTAGAGCGCCCTTTCAKTATTGCAGACTGTTTACTTCTCGAGTCATGTCAGTCAGTATAAACCAGTGTTTCACAACCCTWTGTCTATAAAAGGTGYTTTATAAATAAACTTTACTTATAAAAATACATAAGTCGCAGGACCAACCAAACCATGAAAAAAGTGCAACCTATAGTCCAGAGAATATGATGTATTGATTTATAAGGCTTGAGAACTGAAACAAGGTGGATAGTTTTTTTTGTTTGTTTGTTTGTTTGTTTTCTCTTTGACTATATCTCAGAGATCTAAATTTGTAGCCAATTGTTGGCAACAGTCTCAACAGTTTTTTCATGTGCATGCTACACTCGTATACAGAAAAAAAATAAGTATGTTAGAGAATAAGTCACACTACTCTTATCAAATGCTGCTGAATTCTCACCAGATCCTATTTGTCAGCGCGTTTAGGCAGAAAAGCTTTTGATTGTATCAACAAGAGGAAATTTTTAAAAAAGGACCAATGTAAGTTTTGAACTAATTCAGTTTCTTTGCTACTGTTTGAAGCTGTTAGATAATCCTCAGCTGTTTTAAATGCAGGAAATCCACACAATCTTTTAATCTCAGAATCTTTTGTAGTCCCCAAAAACAGATAAGTAATTGATCTTTCCTCTTATGTTCTGCCTTTTTTTTTTCAAGCAATCAGCATTTTTCAGCTCAGCAATCAAAAAATGACTGATTCAGTGCGTGTGGACTTGTTTTCATGTGGAACGTGCCTCCCCGCGTTATCAACCGTCTGCTTTTTTTAACTGTAGCTGCTGAAGGAGATAAACCGAACGAGCAGAGGCCTTCGCTTCCAGAGGCACACAGAACCCAAAGCCTATATCGCAGCGTACTTCAARGACCTGCCCAAAGAGTTCACCCTGGGAGATGGCAAGATCTATGGAGACTTTGAAAACAAGCAACTCCAGAAYGGCCAGGAGTACATCTTCTTTGTGCTCGCTGTACTGGAGATGTCTGAAAACGTAAGTGCACTGTGTTTAGTTTTTATCGCTCTTGATCTCAACTTTATACTATCTCCTCGAGTTCATCCCCACGCTCCAGTTTGTTTGTCTCCAGAAAATCTCTCACTTTGTGTTCTTTGTTCTGTAAACTGTTGAAAGACTGTTTAATCCACTTCATCTTGGCCAAAGGTCAAAGTTTGCCTCTGGTCACACGTGAGACTTTGAGCACTCGTGAGGTTTCGGCTTGAAATCTTAAAAGCAGCAGCTGCAGCGGGCCGAAGAAGCTGACCCTTGCTGCTTTAGGGCGAGAAACCCCTTAAGACCTGAGCTGATCGCGAGAACACCTTGATAACAGAGCTTCTCTTTAATTGCATTCTACGTGTGGTCCACCTTATCTCTGCTGCAGCAGCTAGTGTGTGTGTGTGTGTGTGTGTGTGTGTGTGTGTATACGAAGGACCAGAAAGCAGCGTGATTAGGCAGCTGCAGGCGAGATGATGGATTTGATGAGCTCCAGGGTTTATAGTGCCGCCTCACTCTCTCTTTACTAACCCCGAGTTCAGGTAGAGCAAAAATAAAAATAAAAAAACCCATAATGATGGACAGAGGCAAATCTCTAATTTGCCCACTGAGGCATACATTTTCTTCCCTCAGGACCATTTTTTATATTTTTACTTTGAATATCAAACAGTTCAATCAGCCCTTTCCTGTATAGAGAGGATGGTAAGATAATTGCGGTGGGTCAAGCTGCAGCTTAAAAAAAAATCTCAAGAAAACTTTGTTTATTGTCTTCATGTACACCAGTTACACTTTGTCACAGCACTGAAGTATTTTTTTGAGGATCTGTAATTTTACTTTTATTTTGTTGAGCAAATTACTCAACTCAGTTGATAGAACTTAAGTAAATTCAACACTTCATTTCTTAGTGTGTAAAAGTACTTTTACTGTTTTTTTTTTTCCATTGATGTGAGCAGTTTAATGACTTTTACTCAAGTACTTTTCTTTTTACTGAAGTTTATTTTCACCAAAGTCCTTTTCTGGTATTTTTTTTCCAAGTACTTTATACACTTGTGATTTACACAAATCTTAACAAAGACCTATTATAAAAATGTGTTTATGACASCAGATTGGATTGATTTACTGCTTTCATTTTGGTCCTTCCTCAGATCATGTATGCCACCAGCCCGTACTCCGACCCTGTTGTCTCAGCCGACATTGATCCCCAGCCAATCATCGATGAGGAGGAAGGCCTCATCTGGGTGGTGGGCCCAGTGCTAGCTGTCGTCTTCATTATCTGCATCGTCATCGCCATCCTCCTTTATAAGAGGTGAGGAAATTGGATGATAAAAGCACAGGGATCTATCTCAGGATGAACAACTACCTGTAGTAAAGAAGCGATAAGGATGGTGCAAGACATACACTGCAGCCCCATGATTACTTATATATGAGCATTTAAAATTCATGCTATGAATGGCCAGTCAACATTCATTAAATATTTACCTTTCAATAAACTGATACACTCGCACAGACAAATTCGCACATTCAAATGCAGACACAGAAAATAAGATTAGAACTTAAAGCCCACGGCGCAATGATCCTCACACTAACCGTGACCTTCACTCTCAGTGGCACACGTTAAATTTAAGACGAGGAGTTCCAAACACGCTGCTACCCAAACTGTCAAGCCATCAATTGCAGGCGCCCACAGTCCTTTAAAAAATAGACATGTCTGCTGACTGAAAGCTAATCAGACACAGCCCTTCCTTCAACACACTCACAAACTTGCCTGACAGTGTGGCAAACACTTGCTGCAATGCACTTTCCCACTGAATCAAAACAGCCAACGTGGTTTTTTTTCTCCCTTATAAACTGAAACCCCCTAGTGGTAGTCAGAGCCCGTAATGTCACTGCTCATCAGTCAAGCGTAGGAGGGAAGAGCTTTGACTATCTGCTGCTTGTCACTGCATGTGTGTGAAGCTTCAGAAAGACCCCGGGGTCTGGGCTCACTTCCCAGCTGTCCTAACCCCTACCTCTTTCACCGCTGCCCATATACTGTGCCAGAGGGAAGTCAGCTCCACATTTTGACCTTATGCTGCCTTCATATCCAATATATATATCCAAAATATATCCAATGTATATATGTGTGTGTGTGTGTGTGTGTGTGTGTGTGTATATTATATATATATATATATATATATATATATATATATATATATATAATTTCTTTGTCTGGACATGCATGGTTTATAAACATGCTTTCCCACACTGTCACTACTTCACCTCCTCTCAACTTTTACATCCAGATTTACTCCATCACTCATTCAATGAAATGYCCAGGCCTAAGCAGAATTTTACGGGAGTCCTCAAGGTGTAATTTTAGTAGGGGAGATTAGAAACTGAAGAGTCAGCACAAGCTTACATCCATCAATAGCATTAAGCCTGAAACCTGCAGTTTTGTTCTACCATACGTAAACTGTCTCGTCCTTCGTCAGACTTTGTCTCTGATGAAACAAATTGTCCAAGGTCGCCATGTAGCAGGGAGATTTACTCATTGATTATCCTGCTTCTCTCTGCTGTRTTGGATTCTTACCTGGAGATATTTCTCTTTAAGACCAATGTTTATGTGACAGGATAAAATTAGCCATCATCAATAAAGAGAAGCATAAATTATGTGCTTTTGTGCAAAATGGTAAGCAAATAAAGTGCAAATTCTTTAATGTTTTTTTGACAGAAGATGAATTCTTTAATGTTTTTTTTGACAGAAGATGAATTCATTTTTTCTTTCTTTGTCTACAGTGGGTCTAGTGCTCGTATGAATTACATAATTTGTGTATTATAGAATGAAACTTTCTCCAGACTGAGGTAGTTCAAAACCTTTTCACAGAAACACATTTCTAAAGCTCTGAACTACCGCTTTAAAACAACCTGTGTCTAATTCATACACATTTGTTTCTAAATGATGATCTCACGTGTCATTTACATGTAAAATATGACTTACGGGACTGTCTAACATGCATGATTCCTAACATAAAAAAATGCAACAGAGAAGACAGACACACCAATTAGCAGTCAAGAGAGGACTTTTATGCTTGAACAAGAAGCAATCAGCTGAAACTGCTCAAAATATCAGACATACAATGTACAAATCCTGGCTGCACCTGGGAATCTGAAGTATTTGAAACAAAGAACTCCAAGGCTGCATAATTGAGCATAATCCCTGAAGTGAAGAGTCACGGATCCTGCACACAAAGCCAAAAGTGAGATGTGATGGTATCGAGTCATTCGCTTTCTAGAATTCTTAATTATATCAGGCTAAATGTCTCGTCAGCTAATGTTGTGTTGGTTTCTATTTCCTTGCTTTCTAATGGAACAGCAAACCAGACAGGTAAGGGTGAAAAAGAAGAAAAACTTTTGTTCTATCATTATTATCATTGGTGTGCATGTTATATCTACATGTACAAATCTTCACTCACAGGCTGCCATTAAGGAATCATACCATTTGCCTAAAATGTATTGTATATTACAGTGCATCTTCTGTTAAATATATTAAAACATCAAAATTTCCTTTAAAATATTAAATGGTACACTTATAATCCTTTTTGTGTTCAAGTTGAACAAATAAGAATGATCTGTAACATAATAGAACATGTTTGTTGTAATTAAGGTATTTACATGGACCAGATCAGGTTCAGTACAATACAAATGAAGCCCCTGCCACAAAGCATATATTTTCTTTTAAATGCATAGTATTTGACAGTACCACTGAAAACTAAACATTAGCCTTCTCTAAGGGTAGCATTAGATAGCAAATGGCTATTGTACTGTGTGACATTTTACTATGAAGTGATGTTATTTGGACCATCCTATGAAGCCCTGAGGACTGAGAGAATGTGGTCCTGTCACCACTTTAATTACACATCTGCTGCCTTTATTCATGAGACAACAATTAGTTTGTTTTTTTTTTCTGATCTGAAATCATTTCAAACAGCTTTTTACTTCACAGAAAAAGAGCAGAAACAGAAGCCAGAAAAGGTAGTCTCCCCAACAGCAAGGAAATGCCTCTTCATCATCCCACTGATCCCGTCGAGCTCCGACGTCTCAACTTCCAAACGCCCGGTAAGTCTGACCGGTGACGCCAAACATGTCGGGTTTTTAAATATGTGCAGTTYATCTGAAATAAACTGCAATGCTTTGGTCTGAATTCCTCCTTGTTGTAACTCCACAAGCCCCTCTTTCACCCCTTTTCTGAGGTGTGTCTCAGATCAACTCATCATGATGCTGTCTCTTTAAATCCAAATGAGGAGCTTCACGCCCCACCCCCCTCCTACTTCCAGATCGGTCCTTTCTTGTTTGATAGATAAGTTTACAATTGCGTAGCGTCATGGGAACGTTTTATTTATAAATTAATTGAAAGGTGTCAGCAGGGGAAGACTTGTCCATCCAGCCTTACATGGTGGAGTCTGACCCAGATCCAGAGGAGAATAAAGACGACCAGACTTTATTTAGAAATTCTGTTGCAATTTTTAATAGATCAGGAAATACAGAAAATAGAGAAAACTGAACAGGTTGAAAAATATGACCCAAACAGAATTTAAAGACACTTACACAGCACCAGGAGAGACTGCTGAAAATGTCTGCACTCCTAGAGACTCCAAGTACACAACAAAATGTATTTAAGGGCAGAAAAAGTGGATTTTGCAGAATATGTCCCCTTTAAACTTTGGCACTTCTACATTTTCCTCATTATAAATCTAAATAACACTGACTCAAATATTCTCATCAAGCTATACAAGACTTAAAGGTTAGTTCTTCATTTAAARCACTCGTTAAATATGTTTCTAAGGTATTCTCCCTCACCTACGCAGTGAGATTGGCACGGAACAGGAAAGTATTTTGTAAAGATACAGTGGACAGATGCTTTGAAAAGGCACAGGGTCAAAAGTGACACCTTCTTCCCTGGAGGCACTTCTCAGTGGAAAAAATAAAGAGGCTGGAATGCAAGCYTGACACTTCTGTGGCATATGTCATCTTCGTCTGCACCTGGGTTTTATCCAGGTCATCACAACTTGTCATGCTTACCCAGAATAGACCAGAACTGCTTGAAAGATACAACGCTTAAAGTCGCAGCATGCTGCACTGGAGAAGGTGAAGGAAATACAAAATTTATCACAAGCGGATGTTTTATTCTGTATGAAAGGCAGCGAGAAAGGAGGAGTAGCCGTGTTTAGCAGCTCTGACCTTTGTGCGGTGTGACGTCAGTCACGCCTTGGTTCATTCATGTGGCCGTTTCTCACTTATAAATAAAAGGAGTCGCTGTCTGTTTATTACCTGGAAAGGCAGTATGCATCTTTGCTCTCACCCTGACCGGGAGCTGCACGCTTTAACTACCTCTCCACTTCCTCTGGCATTGACTGCTTTTGGACAGGTGTTCACAGACTGCCAATAACGTTGTAATATCAAAGCCATATTTTTCGGGTCAGCTAGAATGAAAGACGAATGAATTGTCCCTGCAGGCTAGTTTTTTTTTTTTTTAGGCAATACATTATGCATATTTCTGAATGCTCCTCAATGATTTTAGGACCATTACAGTGTTTCATCCTAGCAGAGGGGTATTTTTCCTTTTGACTCAAAGTGATTTTAACTTTCCTTCCACTATTTTGCTCATCTCTCAAGCCATCATTTCCCCCTCCCCAAAAGCTTTCCTGAGAGCCGGTATATTTGCTTTCTCTCTGTTCAAAAGGACCAAACATTTTTCCCCACTTTCTCTCAAGCACTTCCCCATAAGAAGTCCTCTCTCTCCCTCTTCTCTCCTTTTTCAACTCTTTACTCCCTCATTGGACATTTTCATCTTAAGGATACTTGATGTTTGAACGATAGCATGACAGAAAAGGCACTTTCAATGCCCCCACCCCCCCACTGTGAAAATGGATTCTGAGTAGTGGACTGCAATGGAAACAGCCTTTGCAGTCTTTCAGAGRGACGTAAGAGTGGGTGTGCAAACAGTGCAGCTTCCATTAGCTAATGCCCACTTGTGCCAGAAACCAAAATGAAACATTGTGTTGTTCGGAGCGCCTGTCACCCAACTCGGGAGTCTGAATGGCACAAGTTCCTCGAGTCAGGATATTTGGTCATTAAATAAAACCAGTAACATTTAATGATATTTACTTACTGCTCAGAATTAGTGTTTTCTGCTGTTTGTTTTAAAAAGCTGAGTATTGGATAGAAATAAAAATTTCAGAATGATACTAGCTAAACCTWGAGAATCTGCATTTATTGCAAAAATGCAGTGTGAGTGCTTATTGCTGAAAGATTTCATAGTAAAACTGTTACCGAGTTAAATTTGAACAGCTGGATTTTGCTGAAAGTAGGAAAACAAAAGTGAAAAATATGTAGAAAGATAAAAGAATAAGCTAAAAGTAAGTTCAAATTAACAGACAAAGAAATGAGTGACAATTTTCAAATGATCAAAAAAACAAGAATAGTACAAAGAACTTGCAATTTGTTTTAAAATTGTTTAAAAAAAAGTAGCTGAAATAATTTAAAGGGAACATTTTTGCTGAAATTATCACTAAAAAGCATAGAAAGATTGAAGGATAGCAGAAAAATCTAAAATCAGCACAAAGAAGTTAAATATATAAAACATCACAAACTGCACAAACATTATGAAACTAGATACCTTCCAAAGAATGTACAGGGGTAAAAATGATCAATAGAAGATATAAACCATATTTAATTATGCATTGCTCAAATTAGATGTACTCTCTTATTAGTTTTAGAAAAGCTAATGTTAGCTAGGTAATAAATCAAGTTTTCTGGCTTGACAGTAGCCTAAATGTAGTTTACAAAATTAACCTAAAAGGAGAGATCATCTTAACTCCTGTAATAGATATACAATGTTCTTATAAAAACAAAATTGCAAACAGCTGACTGTTATGTTTCTTCGTTCAGAGAATTTCTCCTTAAGCCATCGTACAGAGTAGCAGCTTCAGCAACAGGTAGAGGAGAAATAGTAATGATCTGTTTCAAATAACTAGAAAGAACCCCACAATCCTTTTGACATACAAGTTTAAAAAAAAGTTTAAATCACATAAATTATATAACAAAGCTTTTGTGGTTTTCAAACCATGACTTGTTAAAACCATGTTTTGAAACTGGAAACCATCAATGCCTATTATTTTTTTTATCCTTCCATGAAGTAGCATAGATAAGCTTTTAGCAAAATGCTTTCCATGTTACTAATCACTGTCCCATATAAAGTAGACAAACATTTAGTTATTTATGATCACATTTTGATTTCCACCTTTTTGTTTGTGAAGAAAGTAATCGTCACATTGCTTTGCTAATTCCACCACCATTTCCTTCACAGGTTCAGGTGCGCCCAGTCACCCCAGTAACCTCCATTTGTCAAGTTAGTTGGTCTCGATTTTGCATTTGACATAACTTGTAATGGGTTTTCAGCTTTAATTCCTTCCTTTTCCTTTTTTTTCCCCCTTGCCAAGTCTTGTATTTCCATCTGCATCTAATCCATCTGGTGTAACGCTAAGTCATCGCAGGAAGCGGAGCCTGAAAACATGTCATCGCTCAAAGCAGATGTCARCAGCTGGCCTAATATTCAGTGTCTTTTTGTTTGTTGGGATGTTTTGTCTGTGCCATAATGTCATGCTAACTATCCACAGCAGTGTTCTGTGTGAATAACATTTTTCTCTCTAAATAGGCAGTGGGGGAAAGTGTATTCAATGACCTCATTGGCTTCTGTGTCCATATTCTCTATTGGCATGGTCACTGCTTTGAGTAAATAAACCAGCCTAACAATCTTCCATCCCTATTCCTCGTATCATATGCTGCTAATCTAAGCATTGTTTGTTTGAGCTTGGGTGATGCCCTGTTCTAAAACTGGTCAATCACTATATTTATTTTTTTTGTCCATCTCTTCAACAGGCATGGCCAGTCATCCCCCGATCCCCGTCATGGAGTTGGCAGATCACGTAGAGCGACTGAAAGCCAACGACAACCTCAAGTTTTCACAAGAATATGAGGTGAGTGTCAGACAAAGGACAACTGTAGATAAACTGAGCAAACTTGAATCATCTATGAATCAAATGGAAATTACAAATCACCCAGAATCCTTAKTTTTAATCCAGGCTCTAATTCAAACACAATTAATGCTGTCAAATGATTACTATTTGTAATCTGATTAATCCCAAAGTAGCTGTGAATTAATCACGATTAATCTTAAATTTAATATACATTTCTATTGCATATTGATAAAAGAAATTACTTGAGTTATTAATTAGTTTTTAGTGTTTTTATTTAGAAAACAAAATTGATGCTTAGACATGATTTTTTTTAAATATAAAAACAAGACCTAAAACAATGCTCCAAACATATTTGAGTCAGTTAAATTTTGTGCAGAATGAGGTTAAATCAAGAATTCAAGGATTTTCATTCCAACTACATGAGGAATGAAAGATACGGTCACAGTTGTCAGCAAAACATAAATAAAATGAATTAAGAAGACAAAAAGAAATAAACTGTACATAATGTGTTACACGTGGATTTTTTTATTTATTTTATTTATTTAACCTTTATCTAGGTAAACTGCTTGAGAACCACTTCTCATTTACTAACACAACCTGCATTTCAATATACAAACCTACATATTCAGCCAAAGTAAGGTGATTGTAAATTTAAAAAYTTTAATCTAAGCCCAGCACTAAAATTAATCAATATGAGTTAACTCGATTAATTTCACAGCCCTACAATTAACATTTACAATGACCAAATTCAGTTTTTGATGGCAGGACGATCCTGTTATTCTTACTGATGTGGCATTATTTTTGAATTTCCCTCTGTGAACAATAAAATAACTAACACATGGCACTTGTTGTGTCACAATATATTTCTATTTTATGATTAAAATGTGCTGTTTATGTTTATAGGTTAAGACAGTGCTATTATGCAACACCAAAAATGGCAAGAGGTAAAAAACTAGAAAAGACTAAAAGGTACCCCGAYCAACCCTTAGTCGGGTCATAAAAAATTTAAACTTGCTTTACTGTTTCTACTACAATATATAAAAAGATTGGAGGTCATGGTTTGCTGACACTTACTGTGTAAAATTCTGTACGTGTGTTAAAGTCAGAAACCTAAAGATGACATGAGCACACTAGCTGTAACCATTCTAAAACCAAAATCAGTGGACAAGTGTTTTGGTGATGTCTTAACATAGATTAAATAACTTTAAAGTATAAATTGGAGGGGAGAACAGCTATTCGTTTTTCTTGATTTCTGTGCGGATCCTCTACATTTTGAGGTCACCATGCGAGCCGTTGCCAAGCTGGCCAATCATTACCGCAGCTTAAGTGCCTTTCATTTCCAATTTCATACTGCTTACTCGAGACTGATAGAAAGCAATTTTGTGAGCACAATGTAATAAAGATTTTTTTTTTATTGTGAGCAATGTTGCAACCCACTGTTTCAACAAATTTGGATAAAATACCATGCTGAGCCAGGAGTTTTTCTCCCACGTATTGCTGCTGAGGTTATTTTGTAGATAAAGAACCCGGGGCTGAAATGTATTAACGCTGAGCTTATATGGCTTTAAAAAGCTTTTAATAGTCACTTCCATGGAATACTGTCTCGTGGCTTTAAATTTGTCCKGTGCAATTTTATATTTCACCGTTCAATTATCAGTAATAAGGGACCATTATCAATCCCTGCTTCACAAAGTTCAAAGAGGGCTTGAATACATAAATGAACTGCTCTGAAGTGTGTAGTGAAGTATTTTAGTGTATTTCATAYAGTCCTCTCAATTATTTTCTATATAATTAATTCAGAATACATGGATTTTGTATTTTGTTCTATAATAACAATGATGATATGATTGTGTTAAAATATACCCCTCCCTCTAGAGTTCAGTTCCCCTCTTTATTCCCCTGGCTCAGTAATRATGAGTCAGATTTACTGTCAATCCTAAATGTGTAATGTGACAAACA